GTTAGTAAACAGTTGATTGACAGTTGAGAGGCGGGCCGAAAGAGCAAAGCTCAACCCCCGTAAAAACACAACTAGTAAACACACACACACACACACACACACACACACACACACACACACACACACACACACACACACACACACACACACACACAGGGAAATGGTCAGGGAAATGGCTACTGGAGTTTAACACCAGTAAATGTAAAGTTATGGAAATGGGATCAGGTGACAGGAGACCAAAGGGACAGTACACAATGAAGGGGAACAGCCTACCTGTAACGATTCGAGAAAGAGACCTGGGAGTGGATGTGACACCTAATCTAACTCCTGAGGCACATATAAATAGGATAACGACAGCAGCGTACTCTACACTGGCGAAAATTAGAACTTCATTCAGAAACCTAAATGAGGAAGCTTTTAGGGCGCTTTACACTGCCTACGTGAGACCCGTCTTAGAGTATGCCGCGCCATCATGGAGCCCCCACCTGAAGAAACACATAAAGAAACTGGAGAAGGTTCAGAGGTTTGCGACGAGGCTTGTCCCAGAGTTACGAGGGATGGGATATGAAGAGCGGCTGAAGGAACCGAACCTAACGACACTAGAGAAAAGAAGGGAGAGAGGAGATATGATAGGGACATATAAAATACTCAGGGGAATTGACAAAGTGGAAATAGATGAAATGTTCACACGTAATAATAACAGAACGAGGGGACATGGGTGGAAACTGGAAACTCAGATGAGTCACAGAGATTGTAGGAAGTTTTCTTTTAGCGTGAGAGTAGTAGAAAAATGGAATGCACTTGGGGAACAGGTTGTGGAAGCAAATACTATTCATACTTTTAAAACTAGGTATGATAGGGAAATGGGACAGGAGTCATTGCTGTAAACAACCGATAGCTAGAAAGGCGGGATCCAAGAGTCAATGCTCGATCCTGCAAGCACATATAGGTGAGTACATATAGGTGAGTACACACACATACGAACACACACGCACACACCTTACTGCTTCACTGCTGAGTGGACAGCGGTCTGGGGTCGTAGTCTTCAGAGGCCGGGTTCGATCTTCAGCGGAGGCAGAAACAAATGGGCATATTCTCCCTGTTCACCTAGCAGTAAATAGGTACCTGGGAGTTTGACAGCAGCTACGGGGTGCTTCCTGGGGATGTGTACTCACCTAGTTGTACTCACCTAATTGTGTTTGCGGGGGTTGAGCTCTGGCTCTTTGGTCCCGCCTCTCAACCGTCAATCAACAGGTGTACAGATTCCTGAGCCTATCGGGCTCTGTCATATCTACACTTGAAACTGTGTATGGAGTCAGCCTCCACCACATCACCCCCTAATGCATTCCATTTGTCAACCACTCTGACACTAAAAAAGTTCTTTCTAATATCTCTGTGGCTCGTTTGGGCGCTCAGTTTCCACCTGTGTCCCCTTGTGCGTGTGCCCCTTGTGTTAAATAGCCTGTCTTTATCTACCCTATCAATTCCCGTGAGAATCTTGAATGTGGTGATCATGTCCCCCCTATCTCTTCTGTCTTCCAGCGAAGTGAGGTTTAATTCCCGTAGTCTCTCCTCGTAGCTCATACCTCTCAGCTCGGGTACTAGTCTGGTGGCAAACCTTTGAACCTTTTCCAGTTTAGTCTTATCCTTGACTAGATATGGACTCCATGCTGGGGCTGCATACTCCAGGATTGGCCTGACATATGTGGTATACAAAGTTCTGAATGATTCTTTACACAAGTTTCTGAATGCCGTTCGTATGTTGGCCAGCATGGCATATGCCGCTGATGTTATCCGCTTGATATGTGCCGTAGGAGACAGGTCTGGCGTGATATCAACCCCCAAGTCTTTTTCCTTCTCTGACTCCTGAAGAATTTCCTCTCCCAGATGATACCTTGTATCTGGCCTCCTGCTCCCTACACCTATCTTCATTACATTACATTTGGTTGGGTTAAACTCTAACAACCATTTGTTCGACCATTCCTTCAACTTGTCTAGGTCTTCTTGAAGCCTCAAACAGTCCTCTTCTGTTTTAATCCTTCTCATAATTTTAGCATCGTCCGCAAACATTGAGAGAAATGAATCGATACCCTCCGGGAGATCATTTACATATATCAGAAACAAGATAGGACCGAGTACAGAGCCCTGTGGGACTCCACTGGTGACTTCACGCCAATTGGAGGTCTCACCCCTCACCGTAACTCTCTGCTTCCTATTGCTTAGATACTCCCTTATCCACTGGAGCACCTTACCAGCTACACCTGTCTGTCTCTCCAGCTTATGTACCAGCCTCTTATGCGGTACTGTGTCAAAGGCTTTCCGACAATCCAAGAAAATGCAGTCCGCCCAGCCCTCTCTTTCTTGCTTAATCTGTGTCAGATTAATGTGTGTGTGCGTGAGTGTGTAAGAGGTTAGAAGAGCAGGTTTGTATCCTAGCCCGCAGATACAAATAGTAAATACAAACACACGGGTTAATACCTAACATGAGATCTTACAAATCTATATAGAAATATGTAAACAAAACAGCCTACGAAGATGTAGGAGACACCAAACTCAATACAGACTCTGCTAATATTCCAGCTCGGTTATCCAAGACCAATCTAGATTGAATTATTACCTTTACTGATAAAATTAATATAAAATTTTGCCTAATCGGAGTAATTCAATTAGGTGTTATTACAGTGATGATGATGGTCATTATCACTGCCGTACGGGGCAGGTGATGGTGTAGACGGCGGGAGGTGATGGTGTAGACGGCGGGAGGTCGGGAAAGATGAGGGAATGAAACTTTCAGCTAACTGAAAAGAAACCAATTAAGAAAACACAGGGAGAAGAAAACAGAACAGCAGGGCTGCTGGAGAGAGTAATTGGGAACCTCCAAGAAGAAATCACCTCACACACAGTTACTGAAAAGTGAGGGAGAAAATAAATAAAAGAGGAAATAAATAAAACCCAATATATATAATTTACATTTTGTATAGAGAGAACTGCCTCCCTACCTTTCGCAGGCACGTTTATAAAGCAAGATGGAGACTATAAAGCTCATAGTCGTCAGAAAACTAAATTTGTTTACCTTTGATCACTTATGATAAGAGAACGAGACGAGGGATGGTGAGAAAATATTAGTGCCCTATGATGCCTTCACAGATACGCCGCGTTATTGTGTTCTTCATTGTGCATTGATAGTGGTTTACCTCTGTATTTGACCATTTAGAAATTTCTGGCTTACAATCTTATCAAAATTTATCAACAGTAACACCCGTGGCATAGTGGTAACACACTAGCTCCTCGTCTCGTGATCAATTTCATCTGGGTTCGAGCCCTGACCATGTAGGATTGACTGGGCGCCAATTCACAATTGTTCGCCCCTGTCCACCCAGCAGTATCTGGAAACCCGGTTTGTAAACCGATTGCTGGGTTGTAGTGTTTCATGAAAATCAAGTAGAGTAAGGCTTAAAATGAGCTATGGAAAGGGAAGGTTCTAAGCCCGCTGACGAGGTCTGGATTTCCAAACAGAAGAAGCAGCAAACATATCTAACACGTCAGGTTGGATAACAAGAACCGTCCAAACTAGAGATGCTATACCAATGATGATACTAGTCAAGACGCTAGTGCTCTAGACGCTTGCACAATGACAGCTTTCAAAGCTGGAGATATTGCTGACCTGGAGAGCGTGCAGAGATCCTTTACTGTTATAAGCCACTCAGTAAAACATCTAAACTATCCCGAACGACTAAAATGCCTAAACCTAAAATTTCTCTATGGCGCAGGCGGGAGAGATACATAATAATTTACACGTGGAAAATTGTAGAGAGGCTGGTCCCAAACATGTACACAGAAATAACAGCACTTGAGACCAGAAGGCATGGCAGGATGTGCAGAACAATCCCGATGAAGAGCAGAGGGGCAACAGGTGCTCTAAGAGAGAACTATCAACATCAGAGGCCCGAGACTGTTCAACACGCTTCCACTACACACAAGGGACATAACTGGCCGACCCCTCACAGTGCTCAAGAGCAAACTCGATAAACACCTCCAAAGGACATCTGATCAACCAGGTTGTGATTCATACGTCAGGCTGCGAGCAGCCGCGTCCAACAGCCTGGTTGACCAGTCCAGCAACCAAAAGGCTTGGTCGGGGACCGGGCCGCGGGGACGTTGAGCCCCGAAATCATGGGGGGTAACCTTAAGGTAACACCCGCACTGAAGCCATTACAGGCACAAAACCTCCTCCTTCAACCTCCTCGTCAGGAGCAGAACAGAATCATTTCGGCCAGAAGTGAAAACAAAGTCTTGTAGAAACTGTGACGATGTTTATATTGGAGACAAACTTAGATCAGAGGATTTGAGAATGTAAATATTCGTGTGAAGAGGCTGAGAGCACCAACTCATCACGCACAACCACCACGAACAACACCATACCAACTTTAAGGATGCTAAAATATCCATCACAAAAGAAAACATTAGAAGACAGAGTATACAAACTCCAGCCACCAAACACTGCAACACCAGCGGAAAGAATTGCAGGAATTTTGGTATCGTTAACAAACTTTGTACTTCAAAAAATACATTTTATGATCAACTTATTTCCACGCTTAATGTCTTAACCCAACTTCACCTCAACCTTCTTTTTCCTTCATAAGCAGCTAACTTTGTGGATTTTATTCAGCCCGTCCTCCTAAGGTTTCCTAACATCAAGAACCTGTCCTACTAAAGTGTCCTCTCCTAACCTACCAGAGGACACAAAATAGAAAACGGGACGTCTGTTTATAACGTCACTTTTGCGAGCCGCTCCCATTTTCTAGCACGACAATTTCTGGCCTTAGGTAGAGTACACCTCAAAATGCGACGTTCTATTAGAAGGACGGGTTGACCCTTGCAGTCTGGTTGTTGGGAGGTTCCTGCTGCCATGTTCGTTTTCGTTTTCTTGATGTACCGACTTTCTAGTTCTTTTGGCGAGCCTGTAACGTACTAATGTCTTGTGTTTACCCCCTGCGCAGGGTGCTGACCTTCTGGTATCTGCCGGTGTTCAACGCCTGGCTGCTGTTGTGCCCCTGGACGTTGGCACACGACTGGCAGATGGGCTCCATACCGCTCATCACCTCTGTCATAGATACCAGGAACATCGCTTCTCTTTTGTTCTACGGCGCCCTTGTACTTATACTCAGAGCTGGATGCTTGATGAAGGTAATATAATATTTGCCAGCGTTGCTGTTGTGTTTTATCTGTATTATTTACACCCACCCACCACACACACACACCTGCCTACCCCAACACACACACACACACATACCTACCTATCCTCTACCATACACACCTGCCTATCCTCCACCACACACACCTGCCTATCCTCCACCACACACACCTGCCTACCCCAACACACACACACCTGCCTACCCCAACACACACACACACACCTGCCTATCCTCCACCACACACACCTGCCTACTCAACTACTCAATCCAATTTTTATATGTAACCTGCATACGCTGGTGTAGATAACGGAGTTTTCGACCAAACGCTCATGTGAAATATCATGTTACTGTGACAGAATTGTGTATTTAACTGAAGCGTTTGGTTGATAACTCCATTCCCTCCACCAGTGTACGCGGGTTACGTGTAAAACTTGCAACAGATACCAGCTCAATGCCTACACATTCCTAGTGGGGCTCGGCCACACTCCAGGTTGTGTAACTCTTAGCATATCTTTCGTCTATGGGTACAGCGTGCGTCTGGGGCGAACCACGACGTTGGTTCGACGCCCCCCTAATATACGTTTGATAGCCTAATATCTGCTATCCTAGGCTTATATATTAATTATATTTATTAATATGTATGGTGTATGTATAAACATTATATATATATATATATATATATATATATATATATATATATATATATATATATATATATATATATATATATATATATATATATATATGCGAACAAGCCTGAATGGTCCCCAGGACAATATGCAACTGAAAACTCACACCCCAGAAGTGACTCGAACGCATACTCCCAGATGCCACGCAACTGGTATGTACAAGACGCCTTAATCCACTTGACCATCACGACCGGACAAAATGAGGTGATAGCCGAGGCTATTTGAACCACCCCACCGCCGGCACTCGGATAGTAATCTTGGGCATAGCATTTTACCAAATCACCTCATTCTT